CATAGTAACAATGCCTTGTGAATAGGTAGAATAATTTGCAAAACTCACTTTTTTTAAAAAGTGAAAGAGGAGTACAGTGTTAAGAGCTCAATGCCCCAGAGCTCAAGAAATAAGGCATGGGGCCACCTACTGAACAATGAGGATAAAACAAAATATTGAATAGCTGCTCATTACATGAGCATTATCTATTTTATGTCTTAACTGAGGCAGGGGTCCTGTGGAAAAAATAGTCAACATGACCATGTAATAAAGACTGCATTATAATGCATATGGACAAGGGGCCAAATTAAGGTTGCGCATTTCCTGGCATTTCCTAACTTTTGTGTGCTTGACTTTGCATCCTTAATAATGTTCTTTTAATGTAGTTGTGTGTAAATTCCTAGGTTTTAAAAAAGAACACTTAAAACAAATTCCATCATGTGGCATCATAACACATTTATGGTTCATCAGCAGGGCTGAAACCTTTAGATCCACCACAGAGCTTGGCCCCTTGAGCTAACAGAGTAACTGATAGCACTAGTAGGTTGTTATCTGCATTACAAAGCTATTGGACACTTTGTCACTGGGTTTCACAGATACTCTCAGACAGCACAGGAATGGCAAGACTCAGGAATTCTCAGTTTCCATTCCAGTTTCTGAAAGGAAGTCTTATCAAGTGGGCATAGGCTCTTCTACCCCTGTTTCCCCCTCCCTCCCATGTTTGACCCTTCTACCCAAGTCCTGTCTCTTCCCCATTCCCCTACAGCTGCACATCCCAGTCCCCTTGCCCAGCAGGTCCTACGCTTACCCCTCCAGACTCCCAGGCTTAGTCTCCTTGCCCAGCCAGTTCCAGTTCCTCCAACTCCCAGCTTCTCATCTGATCAGTCTCTCCCTACAACCCTGGCCTCCAATTGCTGCCCCTCCCTCATATTACTCATCCCTGACCTCCCTCCCCAGTTCATCACCCAATCTCAGTGTCATCATTCCCCACCCCACCCCCAATTCCTTGTCCAAATCTCTTCACACAGCTATTTCCAGTTCTCCTTCTAACCCTGCTGTCCCATCTGCATTCAAAATCAGACGACAACATCCTCCATGCTACCCAAAGGGGGTCTCCTTGAGAACACAGTTGAGACTGTCTCCCTGCTCTCAGTTCAGGCATGGCCTGCAGCAGGCTGGAGCTGCAATTACAGGGAAAGTCCTGGAGTGGCGAATGCCAAGTGCAGATGGAATCTTTGGGGAATGCAGCTGTTAAAATCTAAGAGGTATAAGAGCATGTGTGAACTGAGTTTTCAAAGGCTTATAAATTGACCAAATTTGGGCAGATTTTTATAGGGATAGCAAAAGACACATCCCTGACACAGCAGCCACCTCCTGCCAAATTTCAAATTCCTGGTCCAAAGCATGGGAGCTCTAGAGCTTTCCAAAGAAAAAGTTGGCATGATTTTTTAACATTGACCAAACAATGTATTATTTCCTAGGTTCATTCTCAGCAACTGCTCTACCCTTTTGGCTGATATTTTCCAAAAGAAGTCAGCCTCAGGCAGACACCCAGCATGGAAAGTTTCAGTCTAAATGCTTAAAGTTTGGCAAAGTTCTAAGCAACTGAAGACAGGGTCTTATAATGGGAAATGTCAGGCAAACTTAATATACCAGCTCTGTTTATAATTATACGAAAAGTACCTTGAAGGACAGAGGTCTCTCAGTGGTTTGGAAATGATTCCGGCCTGAAAGCATTCCTCTACAAACCGCTCAAGCATAGAGTATGAATGTGGCACATCCAGGTTAATATCTGGGATTTCACGGTAAACTCGTTCATAACCCTGCAATATCAGAGTTAGGGTAATGAAGTCACATTTTGCTACAAGAAAGGTTACCCTTTTATACTCTCTCAGGGGATTATAATAATCCAAGTAATTTATTAATTTTTAAAAAATATTAAAAATAATTTCAAGGAATCTACACCACCTCAGCGGCAAGTTAGCACCACACTATAGAACACAGTATTACCTAGGTAGATGAACTAAATTTTAAGATTCCCCAAAATCAGAGGACCTGACTGTGACCAGGCTAACCTACCTGTACAGTATAATCTCATGGGTAGTAACATCAGAGAGGGAGCAGTTTCTGGAGTTTTACCATTCCTCTGATCATTAAGCATCTCCCTAACACACCAGCTGGGACACCTGAATAATCTGTGCCCGACACAAATCACTTCCCCCCAGAGCAAGGGAAGCGGAGTAGATGGTAGGGAGGAGATGGAAACTAGATTGTGAATGTGTCATAGACTGGTTCCCAGTGTGTGGGACAACACAGCTATATGCGGTCACTTGTTCAGGGCTTATGGCAGAACCACAATTTAGTTCAGATATAACTAAATGATTTTGTTTTTATACTCCTAGTAATTTTTTTTTAAATCAAGTAAATCTAAATAAGGCTACTTCAGTAAGAATGGCTGGTCAAGATCCATAGAAACATCCCTATTTTATATTGCAACATTATGAAAGATTTAAATTTTTAGTAATTAAACCACATAATTCAGTAAGACACCTCAAAGTTTCCTTGTTATTAGAACATATTTTACATTATTCTCAACTCTGCAGCTCCACAAGACAACACTGTTGAAGTTCATTTGTACCCCCTTGATACACAACATTTATTGCTATATCTTGGAAACATCAGCTATAGCCTATTTGTACAAGTCACCGGAGGGCCAACAGAACCATAGCAGTACCACTGATAACAATGGATCACCATCTATAGTTTAAGAGAAGGTGTAAAACAGGAATGACGTTTGAAAACACACAACAATTTTTTTGTGAATTACTATTCCAATTATATTTTGGAAAAATACACTTACTCTTTTCATTTGGTCCAGAGTAATGACAGTAGACGTCCAGAGGGATTTCAACAAATCAAGGATCATTTTAAAGGTTGTTTCTCCAGTTGATTCTAAAACCATCACAATTGCCTAAAATAAAGCAAGAGGAAGTGTTTAACTAAAAGACAGTGCAAAAAGTACATTTTACAAGAAATGAAAAGTGAATGCCGCAAACAGAGTTGTAAAATTTCCACATGGAGAAATGTGTATTTATCACATGCGCCTTCAATGCTAGTATACTACAATATAACAACAAAGCATGTGATGGAAAAATTATTTGGGTAAGGATACGAAGCATGAAAACAAGGAAGATGTTACCATAGGTATACAGACCACCAGGCAAGAGGAGAGAGAGAACAAAAGCTTTCTGGACTATTTCTAGAGGTACTCTAAATCACGTGACCCTGTACTCAGGCATCAGTTAGCAGCAGTGTGGATGGCTCTACTTTCTGATGTCATGTATTTGCATCAGACAGACACCACAATGGAGAATTAAAATTTACACACATTTGAAGGGTGTAAACACCAAGACAAAGGAGCTTCTTGAGAATGAAGGAGCAACTTTATAAAAAGGGAAACATTTAGGTTCAATATCAGCAAAAATGTACTGACAGAAGGCAGTATTAGACTGTGGAATAGTCTCTCCTCCCTCTCTCAGGGCATTTAAAAATAGATTAGACAAAATATTAGGAAGTATACTACAGGGAGCAATCCTCCACTAGTGAAGGATTGACTGTATAACCTAACAGAAGTGGTAAAGACCTATTAAAAGAGCAATCTATCGGCTTGAAACCTGCTGTAATAAATAGCTCACAGCACTACCAACAAGAAAATCTAGGTTTAACAAAACTACGAAACCGGAGCATGGGATTTTTCTTGCCATTATTCCACAGCAGACAACTGTGAAATGGCTCTTTCAGTACAAAATATCCTGTAACAGCCCCATTCATGTAATAAATACAGTTTAATTCTACATCTTCCTGAAGACACCAACAGTTTACCCAAGCACAAGTAGCATGCACTGTACTTAGAGAATTTAGACATCTGATACCATTAATATTTAGGAGCTGAACTTCAGAGTTCAGTTACATTACTTGCATGTCCACACTGAAATAAAACCTAGAATCTGCTCATATTTATCCACAATTTAAAAAAAAGTTACAAAAATAAAAGAAGTCCGATTTCTGTCTTACTTCATATACAAGTTCATGGTGAAAATGAGGCACTTCTAGTTCCTGAAGGCAACGCTCAGCTTCTGATACATCTCCAGAAAGTAGGTACTCCTTCAGCAACATATCAATCTATTGGATTTGTTAAAAAAAATACTAGGTATAGTTTAAAATCTTACAATTAATGTGATAAATCCCCTACTCAGCCGAGCAACAAACTAGTGACATGCATTTTAAAAAAAATTTGCAACTAGTATTTTAATAAACACACATCTTAAATTAAAAAGTTATGTCTAACTATACAGATAGTATGAAGCTGAACACTTATCCAGACACCATTTCAAAACATGCAGTGTCTGCACACATATATGTTTAACGTGCAGCCCATAATTAGAAATTATGTTTGATAAAATGCCCATGGGCCACTCAAGCTTAATATGACTAAGATCAAACTCATTTTCTTTTCTCCAAATCTTCTCCCATTTTTTGTTACTTATGGTGGCACTATCATTCTCCAACTAAGCCAGGTTTGCAACCTCAAAGTCACAGACTCCTTCCTTTAAATTTTCTACTAATATCTGGAACGTATCCCAAGCTTGCTGCTGTTTCTTCCCCATCCTAATTGGAGTTTCTGAAAAAGCTACCCTCCAACCATGAGGCCAAAAGAGAGACTAATTAAATACAATCATCCCCACCTCTGGATTTCTCAGGCTTCTTATCTTCCATTAGCCTATCTTTTTAAGATCATAAACTCTTAATTGCAGGTATTATCGTTAGGGTGTTCACTGTACAAAGCCAAGTACTAAACAAGACTACAGAGGACAAACATCCTTTTCAGTCAATGTAATGGTCAACATCTTTAATTCATAATAAATACACATTTCAAAACAGCAGAATATGATTTAGGTGCAGGGTTAATGCATCTCTTTCCTCCCTCCCAGTCAATCTGCATGAGCTTTCACACACACACACACACACACACACGACAGGTTTTTTTTTTTTACAAATTAGCTACCTCTTTAACAAGATGTTTTACAGATTGCTGTCCGCCACCTGACCCCCATACGCTTTCTATACGCTTTCCACCTTTTTTCATACTCAACAGCACAGTAGCTCGGTCCAATGCAGCTCTATAAAGCAAAGGTTGTGTTACAAAATTATTTACATAAATTCACTACAGAGGAGGGAAGAAAGAACAAGGAGTTTCTCTTATGTCAAGACTTGGTTCTGTGGGCCAGGCTATGTTCCAAATTTCTTCTTCTTCTTCTTCATCATCATCGAGTATCCTTCCCTCATTTGACACAAGAGGACAGAACATCTAGTTTCTTTTAGTCAGCTAGTAATAGCTTCCCACAATAAGTGACTAGGGAGATCCAACTCCAAGAAAATTTACCCCTTATTTCAAGGCAACCCAACAAATATACATAATCACAAATGCCATCCTCCTCAGATGATGTGCTTACACTTCATCACAGGTAGTTCAGAAGACACTGTCTGTTCAGCAATGCAAGGTCCACA